GAAGATCCGGTTGCTGCAGTCACTGATTATGCCACTAACCACACACTAACAAGTTGGACTGAGGTGAGTGAACGTTATATTATAAGTTTCGTGAAGGGCTTCAAAAACTCTGACAGCCAAGATGTAAATGGTATCTCCTGTTCTATACTAAAAGGTATTATACATCTGATATGTACACCGCTAACTAAGCTAGTTAACTTGTGCTTATTAAAAGGGTCCTTTCCAGACGTCCTAAAAGTTGCTAGGACCATTCCAATCTTTAAAAAGGGAGATCCCTCAGATCCGTCTAACTACCACCCCATATCTATCTTGCCGGTGTTCTCTAAGGTACTTGAGACTGTGATGAAGAGGCAGCTAATTAAATATTTCGAAGGTAACAACTTGCTTTCGGATGCCCAGCACGGCTTCCGAAGTGGGTGCTCAACAACTACAGCCCTAATGAATCTGACTGACCTCGTCTCAGATGCCTTCGAGTGCAATGACTCAGTCATGCTGAGGTAATGCGATCTGAGTAAGGCGTTCGATGTTGTTTCCCACAACATCCTTCTAGAGAAACTGAAAAAATGTGGTATTGGTGGTACAGTGTTGTGCTCTCTGCAGAATTATTTAGAAAATCGTAGGCAATTTGTATCAGTGAACGGAGTGTCCTCAAATGTCCAGGTTGTTCCCCATGGCGTTCCTCAAGGTTCGGTGTTAGGCCCTACGTCTACTGTTTAGCATCATGATAAACGACCTTTGGCTAAACGGCTGCACCCTCCTCTTTGCAGACGACACCACCCTTGTGACTAGAGGGAAAGACATTAACCTGTTGAGGGATACAGCGGACGAGCTGTTTGTTGAGGCCTAAGTCCTGGTTTGATGCTAATCGCTTCAAAATAAATGAAGAAAAGACTCAATTATTGATGTGCACCCTCAAGTCGAGGACTGATCATGAGGAAGCTGTGAAGTTGCTTGGGTTTTGGCTGGGCTCTAGGCTAAACTGGTCTAACCACATTGATAAGGTATGCGTTAGGTTATCCAGAGTTCTCTATCTGCTAAGGAAACTCCGAGATGAAATCACTAAGACCTATCTGATAACCATATACCATGCCTTATTTCATAGCCATTTGATGTACGGAATAGTGCTCTGGGGACACTACCCTGCATGCCATGAAATACTTCTGCTACAAAAAAAAGCTGTGAGGGTGATAACATCTAAAGGCCCAAGAGAACATTGCCGACCCATCTTCAAAGAATTGGGAATCCTCACAGTGGTGAGCCAGTACGTACTTAATAGTCTGGTCTTGCTAAAGGAAAAACTAAGTGATTTTGTGACCCGAGGTGATAGGCATGAGTATGGAATAAGAAGGGCCCATGACCTGGATATGCCTCGCTGCCACTTGAGCCATACCTTAAGGAGATACCCCCGCTCGGCTATCAAAATCTACAACTCCCTTCCAAACCACCTAAGGAACCTTGACGGTACAGCGTTTAAGTCAGAGCTGAAGAACTTGCTCACAAATAGGCCCCTGTATAGTCTTGACGAGTTGTCTAATGATCATTTAATGCCAGGTTGAGAAACAGACACGCTTACCACAGATTAAGTTTCAAGTTTTAAGTTTTTAAGTTTTATGATACTTTGTAAAACAAGTTTTGTATATAATAATTTTGTAAATATTAGTATAACGACGCAATCTATCTGATATACTTCGGTCAAAGATTAAGACAACAAGTATTCAAGTATTCAAGTAAGTATTGAAATTACGGGTAGTTTCTCGTCAACAGACATTCATATCAAAGTACGGCCGTAATAGTATTGAGACCAGTTTATTACAGTTGAGGAAAAAGGGTTGAATAGAATCAGTTTTATCGTTGTTTTCGTTTCATTTTCACGCCAAAGAAACTACTTTCATTCACAAGTTATTTCATTGGACAGTTACCGCCCAATCACGGTCCAGATGATTATGTTGTTACTGCAGCTTTCCAGAATAAGGTGGACTGTTTATTGCAGTAATTTAATTAGCATTGCAAAAGCCACACGTATGTGCTTTAGAACTGGGCTTAATTAAGATAACGAAAATTAGATCGTTCGTTAGCATAATAAATATATATTTTTAAGTGTTACTGGATCTCCAAGCTATTTTATAGATATACAGTACCACATTTCTGTTGTATGCAAAAAAGAAATGGGCTTAGTTCAATGAATGCTATTTCATAAACAATATTGTAATTTCTACCAATATTATTTATTTGTTTAATGTAAAACATTACTTATCTTTAAATTTGCCTTATTGCCCCTCAAAGTGTTGGCAGATTCGTTTTAGATATTCTTCCCATATTGCCCTAAGCGTGGAATGTAATAATTAAAACACTGGTATAGTGCAAGGAACAACAGTTTTTTTTTTTTTTAAGACATGTTTTTAGGCGAGGTTTGTAATACTGTATTGATCAGCTTGTGGGCTTCACTCACCTTATTTGTTAATCCAGGACTCGTCAAAATGTAATACACGAAGACACATAACACACACATACACGCACATAAAAAAATTGTCCTCTGATTTTCTCTGACATTTCGCGGGACCAAAACAACGTCCCTCTTCCTCGAGGAATTAGAATTAGAGAAACATAAATTTTTGATTCCCTGAGGAAGCGGGACGTTGTTTTGGTCCCGCGAAACGTCGGAGTAAATCCAAGGACGATTTTCATGTGCGTGTATGTGTGTGTTGTGTGTCTTCGTGTATCACAGTTTGACGAGTCCTGGATTAATAAATAAGGTGAGTGAAGCCCACAAGCTGATCAAGGAACAACTGTTTGTGTTAATAAATAAAATTCAAAATAAGATGCAAGCTCACAGCATGTTGCTGTGGTTATTACGTTATTTTCAGAACCAAAAGAAAACATGACATTATTTTTATGAAAGTTTTAAAAACAGTGGCCCAACAAATCAGGGAAGACACAGAATGCACATTGTGGTTTTCATAACGGCGATCCCACAAACATATTCACGAATGATTGCCCCAATACTAAGGCTGGAATATTCGATAGGGATTCTAGTTTTCACCGATAGGTGGTATAGTTGTACATAATTAACTTTGGCTCATATTTAAACCGTTTTTATCATGAACAAGGTCGCTCTAATGTTATAATAATTCAATCATGCTTTGTTTCCCGCAAAAGTAGTCTATTGTTTGCTAGCAATATTATAGGTATCGAAAGTCTTTGCTTAGAAGGGGTTGCGCTTGAGAGAATTATCATGTTTTGTTTTCTAATTAGGTTAGGATACGTATAGGGAACCTACCTACCTACGTCTATAATGGGGCTTCACACAGATGGGTCGTGACATTATAACAAAGCATAAAGACGTGATTAAATTGGCATAAGGTGATTAATAATATGTATTATTATGTTTTCAGGAATCTTTTTTTAATTTTTTACTTTTGCAAAATGTAATGTTCTAATTGTTGCATGTTATGGAGCCACTTTCCCACACCTGATGTACGCAGAGCTAATGTGGGGGTGTGAGTATGGGAAAATGTATTTTCTCTTCTGGCTCCAGAAGAAAGCAGTCAGGGTAGTCTTTGGTTAGAATATAAGAACATTTTACAGTCAATACTTTGCTTTATGTTTTAAAAATTCCCTCAAACATTTTGGAAACGTTGGTTCTTATCAATAATAACCTAGACCGATTTTTTCCTACTCATTCATATTCACTGCGAAAAAAACTGTCATTATAATTCCACCTCCGTCAACGACATTCAAAACATTGAGACATTTCCATTAGAATGGTATTTCATTTGTTTATCTACTTCCTCTCTCCCAAGCTAAAGGATTATTTAGCTGAAGTTAGACTTGAACCACTTCAAAAGTCAAATTTAAAAATTAATCTTGGCCTAGAGTTACTAAAGTGTCCGTGATTGTGTTGCTGATGACATTAGTTAGTTTTAAGGGAGTTTGTCATTCATCCAGGTCGATTGAAGCACAATTGTTTTATTTTTAGTTTTAGACGTAAAATAGATTGACTTGACTAAAGCAACTTTGTATTTGTTATTTTGTTTTAATAAATGAGTTACTGAGTTAAACGTTGCATTGTTTTACATCCTTAATAAACGGTATCAGCATTCTGATACATACTTTCTCCCATAAGTTTGTCAACAACCTTTATCATGTGTAAGCGGTGAGAGTAAATATACGTAAATGGGTTTTGTACAATTTTGTTAAGAATTTAATGGACTATTACATAAAATTTTTTTATTAAAATCGTTCGGGTCATTTTTTGGAAAAACCCGATTTTCTGTTTTTTAATGTGGTTTTATGGGGAAATAACATAATTTACAATAACTTTTGAACCGTATTTTTTACAGAAATAAGATTTATACCATTTTGTTCAGAATTTTAAGCGCTACAACATACTAAATTTTAATCATAATCGTTCTGGCCATTTTTGAGAAAATCCGATTTTTCCGGTTTTTATGTTTTTTATGGGAAAATGCCCATTAAAAATCTTAATTTTTTTTAAAAAATATTAAAAAAACGCCTGGAGATACCATGGGTTGGAACCTATATACCAAATTTCATCGAAATCGGACCACAGGTGAAGTCCCTAGCTCTGTACACATCCCGACACACACACACACACCCACACACAGCCATCACTTCGAAAGCCCCTCTTTTTGGTCTAGAGAGACCCAAAAATTATATATCCACTCAAAGCTCAAACTCGAAAATGTTGACGAAAACAATACATTCTCCATATACTATGTATAGGAAGAGAATGTAATAGTTTCATCCGGTTATTATCTTTGTAAATTATTGAGAAAGTTAAGGTAAAATAACTTTAATTTGAAAATTGGATTCAGAGGTGCTCATCCCCCCAAACCCAGTGGCGAAATCCCCCCCCCACAATCTATGCTGCCATCATTTCAACCTACCCTCCCCCCTTCATTTTACCTGGCAACTTCACCTTTAACACATAAAATGAGCATTTTAAGTATTCAGTAAACTTGAGGTAAAGAAAAACAAACTTAACGATAATCAAAATTAAATGTTTAATAGGAAACGTCATTTAACAATACAAAGTTATATCTAATTATTGGATAGAATCTTTATCGTCAGCCAACACGTGCTCAGTATTAAAATAGGCAACGTCTTCAAAATGTTTAACAATATACTCGGTGAATTACTCTACTCCAACACAGCACTGTAACGTAACTGTAAAATATATTTAGGTTTTGTAAATTTATAGGGCTTAAGAATTAAAATAACTTTAAGTGTACGAATAATACTTTGGCAAAAAGTATCTTGTTTTAAAATTAGGTCACGAAATAGGGCAGACTAGGAGGCGTTGCTCGCCACTCCCAAGCTGCCTTCTACAATAATCGCCGGGAAAATACCCACAATGTGCCACCAGCACTACAAAAGGTTTTGTGACGAAGTACGGTAATTTTATAATTCATTTTGATAGCCCCAGGTTTGCGTTTTATGACTAATAATGGTAGTGTTTTGGCAGTTCTTTATTCCACCATCGCCATGCTTACAAAAGGATCCAATTTTGGAGGTGTCGTCAGAATATGTTACAAACGTTAAACACGAAACGATAACAGATAGGCCTATCATTCACGCGTGTACATTGCCGCGGCAGAACTGGAAGTAAACTGAATCAGGTTATAGCGGACCAACGTGGTCTCTGGGTTGTCGTCTGTGTTATATACAGCTTATAATTGACTAATTGTAGTGAAGTGGCGGAGGAGTGTTGAAAATATAAAGGGATTCATAATTGAGTTTTCCATTCAAAATTATTGACAAAAATAACTAATTTATATATGCTGGATATAAATGATGGTATCGAAATTCTTCATTACTACGGGAAAGGAAATTTATTAATAACTTTGGAAGAGTTTGAAATATTTAAATACATAATACTTGGGACAGCACACAAATTTGGAATGAAAACACTCGATTAATTATGAATCCAATTATATCTTTAACACTCTTCTCAGTCACTACAATATTCCAATATCAGCTGTTGAAAACACAGACGACAATACAGAGACCAAGTCGGTCCATCCAACTTAACCTGATTCGGTTTACTTCCAGTCTTGCCGACGGCAATTTAAACGCGTGAATTGATAGGCCAATCTGTAATAGTTTTGCGTTGAATTTTTGTAACGTACTCTGACGACACCTCCAGAAGTGATTTTTTTGGAAGCCTGACGATCGTGGAGTTAAAGAACCGCTAAAACATATGTAGCAAGTAAAATTTGACCCTATCGTACATGTTAAGGATCTAAGAAGGTGCGTTTTTACCATTCTTAGAAGCAATTTAATTACGAATGGCAAAATATTGTTGGTGTTTATAGAAAACTACCGTACTTATAAAACCTTTTTCGGGCTGCATATACAAAGTTATACATTCATTATGACAGCTAGCAAAAAAATCCCCCCACCCCCAAAAAAAAGCCCCCTCTTAAAATTCTGTGGCGCAGAGGGGGGGCTCTGGGAACCCTTGATTGGATTTCTAACACGTTTAAGTAGTTTGTCTTGCTCAGTACATGTGTCGTTTTTCTAGGAGTGTGCTTGTTGCTGGATTTAGCAGTTATATTGATCAAAAGTGTCAATGGCTCCTGGTTCATGTATCTCGAACAACTGAAAAGAAGCAAATAAATGAGCTGTGGTCAACCCACAAAAACGTAATAGAGTGATTAGTATACATTGTTTAGAACCTTGCGATTTGGAAATGTATTCGCTCCAAATATGATCACATTCCACTTGTTTGAAAATACCCAAGTTTACTCAACTTACATACCTAAGAGTAGTATTATTGATTCAGGAAGAATAATAATAAATAGTCCACGGATGTACGTGATCAAAAACCCACCATGGTGTCCAGCTGCCTAGTAGCAAAAGTCAATGCTAGAAGCAAGGAACTATTGCCTTACACTTCGGATGACCCAGGTTCAAATGTCTCCTATAAATATGATGACAACTTTTATGATTGCGAAATCAAATATATTTGTTTAACTTTATCCAAAATATTGCTCAATGTTCACATAAAATTTCAGCTTTCTCGTAACGAGGTCACATAATACTTAACGACATTCTAGACACACATGCATCTTGTGCACATGATTAGTAAACCAGATCTTAGTTTTTCCACACCTATGAAATACATTAATAATCAATTTACAATGAACAATTATACAAATCATACAACGGACATCATGATAAGGGTACGAAAATAATTGATTGTTTTACTTATATATATGTTATCGTAAGGATTCTCATTTACGCTGAAGTGTTTCGCTTAAAAATAGAACCAAACCAAAATTTTAAATACTACAATATTCGGGGCAAAAATTAATTTGAGCATGCATATATAAAAATCAAGGAATTTTAGCGAGTACCAACAAATAAATACATTTTATGCTCCTTAATGAGTTTAGAAATTTATATATTATCTATTTGGATTTTGTTACAAGTAAGTTATTTTGCAAAAACATAGTAATACCTATGGACTGACATAGGGTTATTTTGTATATACTTTGTAGAGTTTCAACTTTCATCAACTTTCCAAAAATAATATTCAAGAGGTTTCTAACATACCTTTGACTTGAGTTCATCGAACAATGCAGGGTACAGTTTCGGCTCTCCTCGTTCTGGACAGAGGCTCTTTATTGACTCTTTGCCGACGAGATCCACATGAACGACGAGCAAAACGACCGGGACAGCTTGAGATTCGTACTCATCGACACACAGCTTGTAAAACATAATAAAACTCATTATCTATAAAAGATAAATTTTTGTGCACCATATTTTAAGTGCCTTCTACTGATAGTACCTTCTACTCTGACGGTGCATTCAACAGAGAGTACATTCTACTGATAGTGAATTCTACTCTAATAGTGAATTCTACTCTAATAGTGCATTCTACAGATAGTGCACTCTACTGACAAGGAATTATACACTGATAGTGAGTTCTAAAGATCGTTCACTTTACTGATAGTGCACTCTACTGAGAGCACATTCTACAAATAGTGCGTTCTACTCTGATAGTGCAATCTACTCTGATAGTGCACCCTACTGATGGTGCATTCTTATGATAGTGAATTCAACTGATAGCCCACTATACAGAAAGTGCACTCTACCATAGATGGTTAGTCTATGACTCTACTATGACAGTGCATTCTACTGATAGTGCATTCTACCGATAGTGCATTCTACTCTGATAGCGCAATCTACTCTGATAGTGCATTCTACTGATAACACATTCTACTCTGATAATGCACCCTACTGATAGTGCATTCTACTGATAGTGCACTCTACTGATAGCGCATTCTACAGATAGTGCATTCTACTCTGATAGTGCATTCTACTGTGATAGTGCATTTTACAGATAACACATTCTACTCTGATAATGCACCCTACTGATAGTGCATTCTACTGATAGTGCACTCTACTGATAGCGCATTCTACAGATAGTGCATTCTACTCTGATAGTGCATTCTACTGTGATAGTGCATTTTACAGATAACACATTCTACTCTGATAATGCACCCTACTGGTAGTGCATTCTACTGATAGTGCACTCTACTGATAGCGCATTCTACAGATAGTGCATTCTACTCTGATAGTGCATTCTACTCTGATAGTGCATTCTACTGTGATAGTGCATTTTACAGATAACACATTCTACTCTGATAATGCACCCTACTGATAGTGCATTCTACTGATAGTGCACTCTACTGATAGCGCATTCTACAGATAGTGCATTCTACTCTGATAGTGCATTCTACTGTGATAGTGCATTTTACAGATAACACATTCTACTCTGATAATGCACCCTACTGGTAGTGCATTCTACTGATAGTGCACTCTACTGATAGCGCATTCTACTGATAGTGCATTCTACTGATAGTGCACTCTACTGATAGCGCATTCTACAGATAGTGCATTCTACTCTGATAGTGCATTCTACTGTGATAGTGCATTTTACAGATAACACATTCTACTCTGATAATGCACCCTACTGGTAGTGCATTCTACTGATAGTGCACTCTACTGATAGCGCATTCTACAGATAGTGCATTCTACTCTGATAGTGCATTCTACTCTGATAGTGCATTCTACTGTGATAGTGCATTTTACAGATAACACATTCTACTCTGATAATGCACCCTACTGATAGTGCATTCTACTGATAGTGCACTCTACTGATAGCGCATTCTACAGATAGTGCATTCTACTCTGATAGTGCATTCTACTGTGATAGTGCATTTTACAGATAACACATTCTACTCTGATAATGCACCCTACTGGTAGTGCATTCTACTGATAGTGCACTCTACTGATAGTGCATTCTACTGATAGTGCATTCTACTGATAGTGCACTCTACTGATAGCGCATTCTACAGATAGTGCATTCTACTCTGATAGTGCATTCTACTGTGATAGTGCATTTTACAGATAACACATTCTACTCTGATAATGCACCCTACTGGTAGTGCATTCTACTGATAGTGCACTCTACTGATAGTGCATTCTACAGATAGTGCATTCTACTGATAGTGCACTCTACTGGTAGTGCATTCTACTGATAGTGCACTCTACTGATAGTGCATTCTACAGATAGTGCATTCTACTGATAGTGCACTCTACTGATAGTGCATTCTACAGATAACACATTCTACTGATAATGCACCCTACTGGTAGTGCATTCTACTGATAGTGCACTCTACTGATAGTGCATTCTACAGATAGTGCACTCTACTGATAGTGCATTCTACTGATAGTGCACTCTACTGATAGTGCATTCTACTGATAGTGCACTCTACTGATAGTGCATTCTACAGATAGTGCATTCTACTCTGATAGTGCATTCTACTGTGATAGTGCATTTTACAGATAACACATTCTACTCTGATAATGCACCCTACTGGTAGTGCATTCTACTGATAGTGCATTCTACTGATAGTGCACTCTACTGATAGCGCATTCTACTGATAGTGCACTCTACTGATAGTGCATTCTACTGATAGTGCACTCTACTGATAGTGCATTCTACTGATAGTGCACTCTACTGGTAGTGCATTCTACTGATAGTGCATTCTACTGATAGTGCACTCGACTGATAGTGCATTCTACTGATAGTGCACTCGACTGAGCACTCTTGGCTTCTTGTTGATGTAAGCCCATTATCAGGGTGAGCTACAACATGTTATAGCTTGTTAAAGTCATGCATTATGCTTACTTAAAAAATTCTAACCATTTATATTAATACTCACATAGAGTGCACCCTTTATTGCTAAATCCAGACAATCCTCTTGGTGTTGTTCATTCATGCAACCTGGCTCGAAGTTGTGAAACATAGTAACTATAACTCCATCGTTGTACTGTTCATGTCTTTTTTCATATGCATTCTAGAAACCCCAAATAGATGAGATTAATAAAACTCCGGTTTAGATGTAAGAGGTGTTTATGGTATACATTTTATTAAATGTAATATTGTAGGAACTACGATTCCTGTATTATAACTGTATGTGGTATTATAACTTAGGATCTATGAAATCTTCTGAGATAGTTTTTTCTTCTATAACATGTATTTATAAATCATATGATTGCAATTTAGATGGATGGACAAATTATAAAACAAACGATTGGAAGTTAATAAAATTATAGGAGTCTAGCCGCTAAACTCGTGCCTTGAAACGGGGTCAGTCAGGATAAGACAATGTTGGTCCTTTAAAAATTCCGTAAAATGGCGTCACATGCACCATTGAATTTAGAAACTAAATTTAACTCCACTACTTACCTTGATAAACGTCTGTTTTTTGTTAACTCAGGTGGTGAATACTTACTTATAATAAATGTGATGATAAGTAAGTACCGATGCACCTATAAAATCATTGTATCTAGACCTATATGATTTTACTAGCTGCTGTACCCATGCCTCGCAACGGAGAGGACACCGAACAGAAAAATCTTATGTTTAAATCTGTTAACTTATATTGGAGATATTGGCAATTAATAATGAAATGTATAATTAAATTTACAAGCTCAACAAGGCCAATATATAATAATTTTATTTTATTCACTAGCGCTTTCAGAAACTAGGTTTCCATCTTCAGGCACTAACACTGGTACAAAATGTTTTGTACCAGTGTACTAGTGTCTGAAGATGGAAACCTCAAGAGAGCTCAAAAACAAATCATTTAGGATATTGAAGCGTTGTTGTATGCATTGTCAAAAAATTAAATTAAACATTATTATGTAATTTTAATGGAGAATAAATAAACTGTTGTAGCTTGATTGTGGACATATTTTAATGAAATTTGGAAAATTTATTTCTTTCATACTAAGCTTAAAACATTTTCATAAAAAAAACACCTTATAGTCTTCCCTGTAGTAAAAATCCTACGTTACGTACTCATTAAAATTAATAATATTTGAATAGGGAATAAAGCTGACAATATTTTAAAAGAATAATTCAGTGGAATTCCAGCCATGATACATGTTTATTTATGGTTAGTATAAAAATGTGTATTAGATGAAGTTCTTCATTTGTAATTTATTCATTTTATATTAGTCAGTTTAAGTGTAGGAAAGAGCCATGTGGCTATAACTTTGCCTGAATAAATGAAGGATTTTTGATTTAATTTAATTTCATAGCTGAGAAATACTAAAGTAAAACAGTATTTACTCAAAGACAATTTTTTGTTGATTTAGCTGAGTTGAAACACTTGAAGAAATACCATCATTTAGTGAAAATGAAAATCAAAGAGAATGTTCCAACAACAAAAATAGTGTACACGTGTATTATTAAACATAGATTATTTGTTTCTTAGTTAGCTTGTTTGAAATTATAACAATAATTTATTTTATATTTGGGGTTTTAAGAGCTTCTACCCCTACAAGCCACTAGTTTACTTTTCAAAAACTTTGCCTCAGAACTTTGAAACCCTACGGGGCGGAGTTCTAAGTAGGTTAATATCGAAGCAGGAATACTATACTGATAGTTGCAGGTCTACAGTATCTACGGTATTTTCACTAAGCGGAATGTACACATATAAAAGTGGCCTTTCTCAAATCTCTAGTAAAACGCATTATCAAAAATTTGCTTAGTCTGAATGTTTGCTGTGGCGGGGTTATTATTCTCTGCTCTGTTGTGGTATCATAGATAAAACACACTCAGTCTATTGTGATATTTACCTTTTATAAGTATAAATAGTATCACAGAATCTAAACTAAGCCATTGGCCAGAAAAAGTTGTCAGGTTTATAAACATAATTGACTAGTTGATAAAATTACTTTATACTTACTTTGTCAGTAATACGGACATGTCTGTACTGTAAAATAAGTATCAATCATTATTTGAACCAAATATGTGACAGTAATAGCTTGGTACAAAATTTAAACAACTTATATTTATCGAAATGATTTCAATAGTAGCAGTTTTTAAGGTTATTTAGATTATTCACTATTTTAAGGAATAATGGTATTTATCTACGTACATGTTTAATAATCTTTAGACATACTATATCTCAGACCCGCTCTTCGCTCCAGAGCATTTTTAAACTGAAAAATAAATTCACCACCTCTGAAATCACCCAGTCACAGTTGCGAATTATCATTGGATGAAAGCAATTAACAACCAATTAAGTTGTAGAAGACAATGAAACCATAAGTGGTGTAGCAGGGGGGGGATGGGGTGCAATGGCAAGATGTGTACGATAATTTATCTTTTCACCTAAATCTATGGTGTAACCAACAAGTTTTAAGTTCCAACACATCTGCCTGCTAATTCACTAAAGGAAATGGCGGCAATAAGACTGTATGCAGGGCTTCAATGCTTGACTGACTTTGATGTTAGGGTGAAATGCAGAACTAAGAATTTAAATATAGTTTGAGCCGTTGCTTAAACTAAAAGTAGATACCACGAAAACCCAAATAAGGTTTAAATTATCTGAGAGACTTGAAAGCAGCCAGTATAAGTGGTTTAGTTTGTCCATAAGACTAGAATGTACTTAGTATTTATCATTTATGCATATTATGGACATGCAATAACACAGATTAAACATACTCCCTAAGGGAGTGTGTTTAATCTATGATAATACCTAACTTCAGAGCTGAGCCTAAGGATTTGATGCATAAGCCATGTGCTCATGTAATAAAGGCAGGGAAATATACACTTCTCTTGGAACTAAATTGACTTAAATGTCAAGTGAAAGATTTATATCATCTAGCTACTAAACCAAAATTTAAAGAATTCAATTTACGTAAAAATAAGGCGGATTCCATAGCATCTTAGTTCAGCTTAAGTACTTATTACATTTACATAACATTATTATTATACTATTTACAGTTAACAAAGCCCCAGGTTTACCTTATTTTCCCATTGGAAAACCAAGCTATCCTTCGATGGAAATATGTATTTCTCCTTGATGTCAGCAGATAGGCTGGCTAGGTGCACAACTAAGTAAACTCCGTTATTAACACCATGCAATGCAAACTCCTCCGCAGCTTTAGCCTGTAACATTCATAAACTATTTTTATTTAGATAAGTACAATAGTAGTCCTTCAGTTATTACATCGGAATCAAACAATATTGTTTCTGACAGGGGTATATAATATAAACTAATTGAACCTTCTAATGATTAGGCAGCCAGATTCTGGAATCTTCCTTTCGTGATGCTCCAGACCCGGGAGCTGAATCACCACTGAACTAAACCCTACTAGACTGTTTTAGGACTATGTCCTCTTCAGCCAAGGAAATGATCACAGCTGCGGCAGGGACGTGTATATAACAAATTGAAATTATGCTGCAACCGCTGGTTATGGTAAGGATAGTTGTTTTAGCGAATCCCCCATTTGGAATAACCTATTACCATATGTCTCATGGTAAGACCTGGACCCGGGGCCGATTTATTTTTCATTTTGATGTCCCCAGAGGCCAAAGAAACCATTAGTTAAAATTATTATATGTACACATACACATGCATACAGATAACAGTTTATTTATCCTCCCATAACATAATATGGAATTTTAAATTTTATATTTTTCAAGTTTCCCTAGCCAATAATTGTACAATAACTCTTCCATGTACTACATTATTTTTTTTAAGCTCTTCTAAATAGTTTGGATACTGCCCAGGCATTCCCGATGACGTGGATATACCTTTTTCCACTGCCAGGGTTGGGAAAGGCCCCGCCTGGAGGCTCAACAGTTAGTAGGACTGCTGTCAGTGGACACGGTCATACCGTTGAGGACAATTGGACCTGTGTGTCACATTATATCCAGGGTATTCTCCGCGCCAAGAAGCTCGACCTTGACCGGGATGCGGTGTAGGTCATGAAGTATCTAAATGCCAAAAACGGTGAGAGCCCTGAGGGCTTAGGCCTGACTTGAAGTAATGTGACAAACAATTCCAAGTCTGTGTCCAACAGAGTAGAGGGGGTTTTTTAGTGAGTAGTCTGTGATAGATTCAGGAGTCTCACACTAAAGGCTGGCTATACCTGTGTGCGTAAAAGCAATTTCCCTCCTCTCCCTTAAAAAATCGTTTTTAAGAGAAATCACTGAAATCAGGAAATCTTATGTTTTGAGTGTCAAAAATGAGATAAATCCATTTTCACCACATAAAACACCCCATAAACTCCCGTCCCTATAGTCCGATCATGCTGATTTACAAACCCATTCAAATGTACACACGTTTGTACCAAATTCCATCAAAATCTGATAATTTCGCTCGAGTTATTGAGCTAACGGACACACACACACACACAATGATACCCGCTTGGTTTCATTTTGGACTCGGTCGTCCGCTTAAGTTCAAATTTGCGGCATTGTATTCTACCAGTAAAGCCTTTAGTTTGATGAGCATATATCAACATATGCTTACATTTAAGATTTTTTCTGACTCCTAGCGGGCCGTTCCCTGAGGAGGAAGTGTATAACTGAATAATGCGTTAAAATTATTTTAATGCCCAGTAACTGTGTACCAAGTTTTGAATCTCTATATTATTGCTTTCCCTGTAGGGAAATAGCTATTACCGTAGGTGGCAAGGTAAGACCTAGGCCCAGGACCAATTAACTTTTTCATTTTATGTCCCCAGAGGCCAAAAACGCCATTCGTTAAAATGTTTATATATTTATATATGGTCATAATCCTAACGAAACCACCACAGCAATTAGGAAGGATAATGGTGTTTATGAGTGGGGTAGAAATACTGAAACTGCCAAATCAGATTCCTCAGGTAGACGGGGAGAAACGGGAGACTTATAATTCCCATTTCTGTTTTAACCTTTTTTTGCGTCAACGTTTACCACCATCTCTTTCATAATAATACGTAGGAAAATAGAGTTGTTTATATTAATTTAAGTTTTTGGTGTTGCGACTGTTAAGGTATTTACATTTTAACTATAACATGTTAAAAGCTTTCATATAAAACTATTACAAAGAATAATTTTTAAATCCATTACAGTCTTAATGCTTCAGAATAAAAGTATTTCTACCTTCATCAGTAAATTAAATTACTTCTTCAATTGTTACTTGATTTAAATACAAAGTTAGTATGATCTTTTAAGTAGCGAGATGAAAAGCATTTCATTAAGGGGAGTTGCTACTGAAATCACTAAAATTGTTATTTTAACTAATTTTTACTTTGTATCAGGCTTTTATACTTAAGAGAGACCTAAAACAAAAAAAAACTAAAAATTTTAATAAAAAAATTTTTTTTATGTGCCCTAAAAGTAGGTTTTATTGTTTTTTCGGAACATTTTTAAAATTGATATTTAAAGAAAACCATAAACCTTACACAAATGGAAATGTTATACTTTTGTTCAGCATTAAATTTACTTTAATATCACGTATTTTTATTGTATTCCAGATACATTTACTTTTTTTTAAATAACAGCAAATTTTAAGAATATTTTTAAATTTTTTAAAAATTTTTGTTAATTTATATATAAAAAACAATTTTACCAAATGGATTCAAAATACGTGTTCTTTTAAGTTTATAAATGCAAAAGGTGTGTACAAAATTTCAGAACTGTAGCTCAAGTAGTTTTTTTGGAATATAAAAGTTTTCAGGCTGAAACATGGAAAAACACAACTTTCGGGAAACAGAAGTTTTACGGCAGATGTGTTTTACTATACAAAATAATTAGAATTTTTTAATAAAAAACCATTTTTGGTAATGTTTTTTTACAATGCCATGGTAACAAACAAATAAGAATGCAAAAAGCTATAAACTACAATTTATTTAGGGCTAAGTTGTGAATAACATATGCACGTATACCTTTTTATAAGCCTTTGTTTACATTAGCCTACTTGTCTTTGTCGCACCGTAAAACAGTTTGTTCTATTTTTTTTCTCCTAGGTACATGTATGTAAAAATGATTTTGGGTGGTTTTTATGATGTAAAAAGATATAAATAATAATTAAGGAACAAAAAATTTTTTTTGAATTTTTTAAGATTTTTCACTAATTTGAGTAGCGACTCCCCGTTATGAGCAATGCAAAGTGTCCTGTTTCATACTCGTCACTCTGATGAGTAAGGGGGTTAAGGGATTTTCTCATTCCCGTTTCTCCCTGCACGTTGCCAAACTGACCTCCCCTACCTGAGGAATCCACTGCGGCAGTTTAAGTATTTTTACCTTACTCGAAAACATCCTTCCTAATTGCTGTTGGTGGTTTCGGTATGGGTTATAATCATAAAACGTCATGGCAGTTTCGGTACAGCCAAAATTTGCAGCCTAGCTTTTGCAGACGACATAGTGGTTTGGGGAAAACGAGGAACGTTTGCAGCATAATATGAAAATATGAGTGGATGAGCTATAAAAAAAGGTATAACAATAAATGCAAACAAAACTAAAACCATGGTCTTCAGTGGGGAAAAGGCAAACCATTAAATCTCAGTATGAAATAGCCCCTTGAAACAGGTACCAACATTTAAATATGAGGTTGCTCAGTTATCACAGAAAATGGAAAAATATAAGAAAAAATAAATAAAAGGGATGCAGCAGCAATATTTTGGTGCAAAAGAAACATATTTCTGGCCAAGAAAAAAATCTAAAAAAAACAAATTAGCAGTCTATTAATCTACCTCTATGCCTACCTTGACCTATGGATGTTAATCCTGGACTTTGACCAAAAGACTTAAAAGCAAGCTCCAAGCAAGCAATGGAGATGAGGTTTCCTAGGAAAGTATAGAACAAAACAAAAATGGATAGAATAAGAAATGTTGCAATAAGAAACACCTACGATGTTAAGCCCTCAACTATCACAATACAGGAACAGCAACTAAAATGATTTGGGCATGTCCACAACTCGGCTTCCGAAGATGATGAAAGAGGTCATGTTGAGGGAAAGAGCAACAAAAGTAGACCGAGAAGGACATGGAAGGAAGAGATATACATTTAGGATGCTTTGCGTGAGAGGGGCAGCTCCATTCATGACCACTCACTGCAGACAGAAAGTCATATAGGCGCCTTGTTGTAACCTCGACACCAACCGGTAGAAGAGGACAGGATTAAGTAAGTACCAATTCATTTTTATGGAGAATAAATACACTGCTGTGTAGTACCTTTCCTGCGGCAGCAGACTTGTGTACTCTTTAAATAACTGTTATTTAAATATTAAATAAATCTGATATCTTAAGGGAATGTTTTAGTGGAAATCCAGCCAGCTTAATGGAAGCCTATTTTGCTGCTATGGATGGCCTATTTTGGAGGCTTGCTGTGAAGAGATTATTGTTTTTTTGTGTGAGGTTGGTTGTAGGGGTGGTTCATGGTTTGTCGGGTGGGTTTTTGTGGTTGGGGTCTGCATAAACACAGGCAGAAGTTTCTTAGTGTTAGTTTATTTTTTTTTATTTACGAACTTGTTTTGATGAAATTCTTTTTGGGAGAAGGTGTGTTATATCTTTACCCACCAGGGAAAAACAACAGGGTGGAGTTTTAAACTGAGCTCTCTAGAGCTAAGAGGTGATATTCATTCCTACAGTACACGTGGGAAAAGTTATCTGAATTTACCATTTGTTAGGTTAGGTAAGGTTTAATGTCAAATGATGTTCTTAGTTATAAGTTCTTTAGTAAATTTTCTTTTGTAGCTCGGAACCTGCTAGGCCCAAAATCTAGAAAAGGGGTCGAGGGGCTTTTGGCAAACCCTTTGTACAGGGTAAAAGGAGTTTTTGAATTAAAAGAAGCCTATATAAGTAGGTTTGTAATTTTTTAAACCAAATGAAGTGTGCTTTTTCTCTCTATTTCATTTAATTCTCAGCATCGAGAATTCCAGGCAACTGTTTATATTGGTAAGAAACCATGTACTTTTTTCTTGTTTTAAGCTTGACATTTTCCAGTAATGTATTCTTGCACTTTGTGAAAATCAAGTTTAAAGATTCTTGACTCGATTGTAAAATATAACTGCGAAACCTAACACGTATCCAATAATTGCATTCTTGATTATTTCATTTTCATCAAATTATACGTAAATAAACTTGTAGCAGTTGATTAGCAGGAAGGTTATACCGATATTAAAGAAGTAGAAAGGGCAATTAACACTCAACATACATTAAAGGAATCCCATACATTTTACAAACACTTTAAAACTATAAACAGATTACTTACCTTGTACTCGTCTTCGTCAGTAATGGTGCCAGAAATGGCGTAGAAAATAGCAAGTTTTTTGTCTTGGTGGTTTTTAAACCTGTCTTCATAGTCTACCTAAAACACAAATGTAAAATTCTTTCACCATTATATTTTTAACTAGGTAAAAATAATGGTTACATTTAAACAAATAACATAATGAATGTTGAAAGTGAAGTATTGTGTGCGCTCTAACTGATTATACAGGGTGGAACGAAGTTAGTGTTAAAAATGCGTATGTGTTGAACAACTGAGTGTACTGACAGTATGGCACCAGTAGGCAGCAACAGACAAAATAAGATTTAGTTTTTATATTTGTATTTGCTTGGATAAATAACGATAAAAACACTCAAGATTGCTTTCATTTCAACTTCATTGTCACTTTCAGAATCCTCATTTAACTTCCAATAATAATAGTACAAAATTATTGAGATCAAACAGAATTATAAGCCCTTATTGTTTAATGGAAGTTTGAATTTGTGAGTTTTGAAAAACAACATTAAATTTCCCGTAGGATTTTCTATACTACTTTGAGCTATAGAGACTGTAAAATAATCCTAAAAACTTCATCTTTTAATGGTCTTTAAAATAATGTATAAAAACCTACTGCTTCATTGATTTATCGTGTTTCAATCTAGAGTTTCTCTTTGATAACACGGTTAAAGCTGCATTTTCTTTAAAATTACAATGTATTTGATTAAATAATATGGCAATAGCTGCATTAAAAATTGTGTTTATATGGGGTTTATGGTAATGTTTGGAATCCATGAGAAATTTCTCACAAGAAAATCTATAATTGAATGAAGTGAATTCTTATACTGGTGTAAAATGCATCTACTCAATCTCCAATAACTCGAATATAACTTCGTATATCAATTTGATATTTTGCACAAAGGTTCTTTATCATATTATCACGGTTAAGTTCGTTATTAGAGATTATTTGTTCGGTAATAATTATAAAATCCTAAAAACCATTTTAATTTTCCACCATAAGAATAATAAATTATAAAGAATAATCGGAGGAAATAAATATGGGACATAAAAATATCCACCGAAATGTATTACATTCGATAAAAATGTTTAGGTAGTCACATGTTTTAACTTTTTACATGTTTTTATGGTTGTTAGTTTAGTAGACCTAGGCTTGAATTAATTATGACCACAGTCCTTGGGCTACTTGTTAAAATAATGTGTGCACTTTATCACTTGGGCGGCATGATAAGTTTCTAAAAATAAGTGGTTTTAACATTGTCTTGAGCTTTTTATACTATTAATTTTCAACATTATTGTTATAGCATACTCTGCCTAATCCAATCAGATTGTTTTTAATAGTTATTTTTTCAAACATAAGCTAAGTTACATAGTTTCCTTTCTTCTTATCGTCGTCGGTTGTTTGTGTTTTCTGTTGGGTGTATTTGTTGTTGTTGTTAATGCTGGCTGTAAAATAAAAGTGAACATTTTTATACAACCATTTAATGAAAAAAAACAACGCAAATATAACTCCTCGTAGTTTGGGTGTAAGAGTTATTTCACTGTATACCTATCTTTGTGACTGTTGTCAATGGCAAACACTAGATCTAGGTTAGGAACCGAGGGAGAGATAAAAACAATAACAGTTGTATAAAAGAAATTAGTTTTTGTTTAATTTAACAAAGCCCATGTTTTTCTTCACGAAGACACATTTTTCTTTAGTTACTTTGAAACTAAATCCTTTCTTCACTGTTGTGCTGACTGACATCAGTTTCCTTCCTAGCTTGGGAACGTGCCATACATTCTCTAAAGTTGTGATGTATCGGTTCTTCCCAATATTCACACTTACTCGAATACTTCCCTCTCCAACTGCCTTAATATCTTCACCATTTCCACATTGACGTTAATTGGTGAAGTAAACCTCTGATATGTGTGAAAGAAGTCCCTCGGGAAACACGTATGCTGTGATGCTCCAGAGTCTGCAATAAAGCTGTCTTCATTGTGTTCCTTTGCTACAATACACAAGAATGGACCACTGTTACCTTTTTCTAGGCTCAGTCTTGTTCTTGTCTTCTTTTTCTGATTTCTTTGGACACTGAGTAGCATAGTGTGGTCCCTTACAAATCAAACACTTTATTTTCTTCTTTATAGAATGCCTTTTGCCTTCTGAGAATGAACTTGTGCTATTTCTTCTAACCTGTAAGGCTTGTCCATTATCAGAATTCATAGTCCTAGGTAGCCTGGACTCAATCAGACGAATTCTCTCTATTAGCAAATCAACACTTCTGTCTTTCACTGGTATGATTTCCCACACACTTTTGAACTCAACGAATTCTTTAGGTAGTGTACTCATAATCCTTGACATCAACACAAGTTTTGGCAGTTCTGAAGCTTTATGCTTTTTAAGTTTATCATTCGCTTCTCTGAAGTTTAACTGCAATCTTGAGAAATATTTGATCAAATCTTCTCCATCAGTTATACTAAATGTAAAGAACTGTTCCATTGTTCTTTCTAGTCTCTGACTTGATGATTGTTCATAATACTCAAACAGCTTCTGCCATCGATATATAACTACTATAACTATCCTATACTATAACTAACTAACTATAACTAACTACACTATAACTATATTACCGATACTATACTGTTGTGACTTTGAATTAGAGTTCATAATAAGCACGCATTTGAATAAACTCTTTTATTGAAAGTAATATTTACAACTGCAAATTGAAAAGGTAAACATTGTTTTGTAATTAATGACAACAGCTGATAATATACAGTATAAAGAATACTACAATCTCCCCCACTTATTTTGAACTCATTTTGTAACATAGTCTTTAAGGTAATCTGGAGCTTTATGAGTGCGGGTTGAACATCGTATTCGTGGTCGTGGTGATGTTGGTTGTAAGTTCTCTTCACCTGGTAATCTGACTAATTCTGGTACTTGCATAGGAACTTGCTGTTGCGGAAGTATGGGTACTTGCATTGGAACTTGTGGAATTTGATTAGGTACTTCTTCACATTCGTTGAAACGAACCTTCTTTAGGCCTACTTGAGTTTTCCGGAGTTGGTCTAGATGACGTTTCAGTGTTCTTCCAGAATCTAACCTTACAATATAGTGAAGAGTCCCTAGTTTCTGTATAATCTCACCAAATGTCCATATATATTTATTATTTTGTGAATACTCCCTAATGAGAACTCTCTCCCCCACATTGAATGTTCGAACTCTTATTATTGAAGGAGGATTCTTTGCCGGATGGTAAGGTTGAAGAGCATCCAGCTTGATGCGAATCCTACGATGAAGATATCGTTCTGCAGGTGATTGTCCATTTGAGAGAGGAGTGGCACGATATTGTTGAAGAATCTCTTGAACCTTTGTATGTATTTGACGATGGTCATCTTCCAATGCTTTTAATCTTTGCTTCAAAGTCTGGATAGTTCTTTCAGCAAGACCATTTGTAGCTGCATGTCCAGGTGCAATCAGTTTCTGGAAAATTCCATTGGATGAACAGTATTTCTTGAATTCTGCGCTGGTGAAAATTGTGGCATTGTCTGATACCATCACTTGAGGATAGCCATTAGATGAGAAAATGTTGTCGAGAAGAATAATAGTATTAGAAGTTGTAGGAGCATTTCTCAATACTTTAACTTCTACCCACTTTGACTTGGCACACACACAAACAAGAAAGTAGTGGTTTTGAAAAGGCCCCGCGTAATCTATATGAATACGCTCCCAGTTTTCTTCTGGCTCTACCCACGGATGAAGGGGTGCTTTGGGAGGATTGAATTTTATGTGGGCGCAAATTTCACACGATTGGACTAATTTATCTATGTCCTTGTCAATCCCTTGCCAATAAACGTATCTTCGGGCTAATTGCTTCATCTTTGTAATACCAATGTGAGTAGCATGTAGTTGCTGTAAGACTTGAGGTTGAAGGCTGTTAGGGATGACAGCACGAGTTTCCTTGAAAAGTACTCCGTTGTCCAATGTGTATGGTAGGTCAGCAGAAGAAGACAAAAGTTTCCTTTTAATTTCTCTAAGATTTTGGTCAGCTTCAGTTTCCCGGGCTAGAATAGTTGCATTTAAATGTTCAGAAGATATTTCAAAAATTGTTTCTGAATGTAGCAAGGTAACTTCATTGTTTAGGAAAATGTCTAAGGTTTCAGACTGTTGAGTCACTGGAGCTCTGGATAAACAATCAACATTAGCATTTGCTTCCTCAACCAAGGAATATTGATGATGTCCGGAAATTTCTTGGAATGGTTACCTACTACGCTCGGTTCATCCCAGACCTATCTACAAAAACAACACCTCTTCGACAGTTTCTACAGAAAAATAGAAGATTTCATTGGTCAATAGATTGTCAAACTGCATTTGATTGTCTCAAGGAGGAAATAACTTCTAAAAGAGTTCTAGTACCATATGACCCCCATCGTCCAATCGTTCTAACATGTGATGCCAGTCCTACCGGAATTGCAGCTGTAATGAGTCACATAATTGATGATGAAGAGAAACCGATCGCTTACGCATCCAGATCCTTTCTTGAAACGTATTGAATAGTTAAACCCTGATAGAAAAGATGCATAACGGAGCAGTCGGCTGGAAGTCATGGGTGGTAAGGATTTGCTTTCATGGAAAATTCTTGAAAGAGGGGCATTATCTGTAATTAAGGTGAAGTGAAGTCCATACAGATAATTGTAAAAATGACTGACTCCAAACACGATCGCAAGAGCTTCTCGATCGAGCTGACTGTAATTTCGCTCTGATGGAGTTAAGGATCTGGATGCGTAAGCGATCGGTTTCTCTTCATCATCAATTATGTGACTCATTACAGCTGCAATTCCGGTAGGACTGGCATCACATGTTAGAACGATTGGACGATGGGGGTCATATGGTACTAGAACTCTTTTAGAAGTTATTTCCTCCTTGAGACAATCAAATGCAGTTTGACAATCTATTGACCAATGAAATCTTCTATTTTTCTGTAGAAACTGTCGAAGAGGTGTTGTTTTTGTAGATAGGTCTGGGATGAACCGAGCGTAGTAGGTAACCATTCCAAGAAATTTCCGGACATCATCAATATTCCTTGGTTGAGGCATATTACAAACAGCTTTAATCTTTTCTGGACTTCTTGAAATTTGATTGTACTTAATCACATGACCAAGATAGTCAATCTGTTCGCAAAAGAATTTGCATTTGTCTTTGTTTAGATGCAAGTCGTTCGCATGTAGACGGAATAGACACAACCGTAAATTATTGTAGCATTCATCTTTTGTTGTACCGTGCACGATTATGTCGTCAAAATAAACTTCAGTCTTTGGTAACCCGTTTAGAATTTGGCTTAGAATGCGATTGAATTCGGCAGGCGCGGTCTTGATTCCGAAACTAAGTCTGTGCATCAAGTATGTACCGCGGTGTGTAGTAATAGTTAGAATTTTGCTGCTTGGGGCATCAACTGGAATGTGCAAATAAGCCTTGTAAATATCAAGCTTGCAAAAATATTTTGAGTCTCGCAAACAGTGTAAAACATCTGGAATGTGTTTGATCGGGAAATTAGATGAAACAAGACGATCATTTACGCCTGTTTTGTAATCGACGCATAACCTCACTGTGCCATTTTCTTTCGGAATAACAACCAAAGGCGAACCCCAATCGCTAGCATCGACTTTAGATATTATGCCGGATGATTCAAGACTGTTGAGTTCTTCCTCAACCTGAGATCTAAGGGCAAACGGAACGTTACGTTCTTTGGTATACACAGGTTTAGCGTTTTCACGTAATTGAAGTGTAACTTTGTGGTTGGGCAAGCATCCAATTCTTTGGTCAAAAACTGTGGAAAATTCAGAAAATATGTCATCAATCGAATGGAAGGTTTCGGAGACATTGAAAAAGTTAGGTTGATTTGAACCATCATCTATTTCTTGTAGACTTATATGTAAGTGTCGAATCCACACTCTTCCTAGGACTGCTGGACAATTATCAGGAACTATATACATATCTTCGATTGATTTATGGTTTTTGTAAGTAACCTCAACTGTAACTTTGCCCAATGGTTTAAATACATTATTTGTATAAGCACGGAAATACACATTAGTTGGGTCAAGTTTGATGTTGAGATTTAACTCATTGAAAGCCTTTTCTGGTATTAATGTAAATCCTGCTCCGGAATCTATCTCAAAACGCATTGGCTTGTTATCAATTGAAACTGTAGCAAAATACTTTTGTGAATCGGGTAAATTTGATCGTTCGTTCTGGTCAAATATGTCTATGATATTAGGTTTGGTAACTGGATGAATTTCAGTGATTTGATTTAAGCCTAGCGTAATGTCATCAGAGGTTGAAGAAATGTACTTTGTTGAATTGAACTTAGATTGATTGGTAGAAGACTTATTTTTCATTTGGGTTGAAATGCAAACTTTGGCTACATGGCCTTGTTTCGAACAGGAAGTGCAATGAAGTGATGACTTGCTAGTGCGACACTCAGTTGCGCGGTGATTATTTCTACCGCATCGAAAGCAAAGATCTCCAAAACCTAAGCGATTGAAATCTACTTTTGATTGAGAACGATAAGTATGACCAGAATTTGGATTCTTACGGTAGTTTGAACGACTTCTTTGATGTTTTGTACCTACATTTGAAAGTTTATTGATATCTACATCAGTTGGAATTGAATGCTGATGTTTGTTCAAAGCCTGGGTCTCTAATCGGGAAGCTTCCAAAGCAGTAGCTTTGGTTACAATGTCTTTGAATGAAGTAGTGTCTGATTGTAATAACTGCTCTCGAATCCAGTCATCTTTTAAGCCTCTTATGAATTGAGCTCTTAAAAATGTATCTGAGACTGAAACTTGTTTTGAACATTCACACTGGACTGTAAATTCACACTCAGACAGGTCTTTTTGTAGTGAAGCTATGTATTCAGGAATTGATTGATTTGCTTTTTGATAAGTGTTTAAAAAGTAATGTTGTGAAACTACAACGTTTCTGTGTGGTGAAAGCATGTCACGTAGTGATTTGACCAAAGTAGCAAAATCTAGGTCTTTGATAGGTTTTTCAGGTCCAATTAATGATGAAAGATTATTGTAGTGAACAGAGCCAATTGAAGCGCAAAGAAGTTGTGCTTTTTTCCTTTCATCTGAGATGTTTTTGACAGCAAGATAATTTTCAAAGCGTTCCAAATAGTTTTTAAATTTTTCCTTTTTCTGATCGAAATTTTCAAATGGTTGAATACTTACTAACGTATTACTCTGCTGTACTGGAGGTTGAAGTTGAAGTTTTTCTGTAATCTTCGTTGCAAGTGTAGCTGCAAGTGTGACTTGGCTCTCAGTGAATGCTTTCAGTAGTGCTGTAAATTGTTCTGCATCCATAATGTACAAAATCGAAATTTAGAAAAGGTTTTAAATCCAAATAATGAGTAGAAATTTTGAAAAACTTTTTCTCGTCGCCAATTGTTGTGACTTTGAATTAGAGTTCATAATAAGCACGCATTTGAATAAACTCTTTTATTGAAAGTAATATTTACAACTGCAAATTGAAAAGGTAAACATTGTTTTGTAATTAATGACAACAGCTGATAATATACAGTATAAAGAATACTACATATACTATCGACATATAACTAGTTATATATCGATGGCTTCTGCCACATTTCATGTGCACTATCACAAGTAGCTTTTAATTCTACATGTGAATCGTCTAGAGCATTTACAATAAGTACCTGAGCTAAGGTGTCACCTTTCTTGAAATCCTTAAGCTTCTGTTCCTCTGTTTCTTAAGACCTTGTCCTTTCACCAGTAATCAGATCACTAACTCCATGATGTCTCAAAACTAATTCCATCTGGCGTTTCCGTGTTATTTTGAATTTAATATTAGGCATATATTTTAACGTTATCCAGTAAGTTATAAGGTATTTAACTTAACGTTATCCGGTAAGTTATAAGCTATTTAACTTAACTTAGTTACACTATCAAGTGTAACTGACAGAGTGTTCCCTATGAAGTTAGGGTAGCTTGCAATCAAAGGTAATAGGCCTAGCCTACCTTGGCCTTTTCTACAGTCTAGCCACTTACAATTAGAATTCAATCATTTATCCAAAGGTGTCCTATGTCATTTTTCAACAAAAAGCCAAGTCGCGACTTACCATCCACCGGTGCCGTGTCTCGTGAATCAGCGTCTGGTCGACCAGTTTATTAAATGTATTTCGTGTGTGTCCTGTCCGTATGTGTCCCCCGTTTATTTATTTGTTTATATTTTTGACGAACTCCACATGAGGAATTAGCAAGACATTCTTGACCTGAAGATGTGCTACTTTTAAAAAGCATGAAACCGCTGTAGTCTTCATACTACCAAGTCGATCGTTTTGACAGAAAACAGGTAATTTAAACCTATATTAGTTTATTCAGACGATCTAGAGGCATCATGAAAACAAAAAGCAAATCTCAAACTTAGTGGCAAGTTTTAACACATAAAGCCCTGTATAGATTTACAATAATTCAAGAGAATTTAATACTCACATCTGATGTCACTTTTTTTCCAACTACAATCTGAAAAATATAAGTTGACAAAATTAATATAATTGATAACTAATGTCTATCAATCTTATCAGCCACAAGAGGTAGTACAATACCAACACTTAATAACAATTTGAAAACATGTTTCTCGAAATTTATATATTTACTAGTTGTTCTGCCCGTGCGTTGCAATAGGGCAAGAATACTTTAGAGAATTATGTGGCAAGGAGCGCTTTATTTTGTCCTTAGCAAACTTAACGCTGTTTTCAGCTTGACCATTACTTTGAGAATGGTAAACAGCGCTGAATGTGTGTCTGATACGGTTTATGTTTAATGAAATTTTGAATTCAGCTAACGTAAATGTCGTCCATTTTCGGAATGTAAATCAACAGGTAAACCAAACCTACTGAATAATTCTCTTAAAAACTGTATAGCTAGTTTTGTGGAAGTGGAACTATAGTGGAATAGATTACAGAATAGGACCGAAACCAGTTCGAGTCGGGTGGGGTGGGGCATGCGCACAGAGCAAAGAATGGGCATGCGGCATCCAATCAGCTTTTAGAAAACTGTCCACCGTTGCCAAGTTGTGCCACGCACCCACGCACTCAGTCTCTGCCCGATAGCCGACCTGTGCGTTTCTAGTATACCCTCCTGTTTTGTCAAGAATTCGTCTGCGAACTGTGTTTCGCCCAATGAATACGGACAATATTACGCGACGTGGACCACCACGAGTACACGTGAAACGTTTGCGATGTTGTAACGTCGGACGTGGTGTTCCTTTACGTGTGCAGGCAATTTCCAGTGCAATGTAATAATATTTTATAATAATAATAGTTATGTTATTTTTGCAATAAATTGGCAGTTACTTGGACTATGGACAGTAACTTGTTCAAATTTCCTTTTTTCATAATTTAAAACATCTCTAAAAATATAACGACTCTCTCCCACTCACAGGATTAAATTATCCTTTGTGGGGGATAATTTTGCTTTATTTAAAAATCTTTTATAGAAAATTAAATATAATCTAGGAAAATAAATAATATTGTATGAATATTTTTGTACAGGGATCATAATATTATATTATGTCTGTTTTTGTGAAATAAATGATATTTGATTTGATTTGAGTTATGTTATCTATTTCCCTTTTTACTTGGTATGTTTTTTGAGGATTTCTAGAGTACCTACATTAGATTTTTTTTTTAAGATTGCATATATGACTATTTTAATGAATGCAACACATAACGTAATGTATGTAAACGTTAGTTAAATTTTCTTAAATTCAATATAAAACTAACTGACCTTTTTGTCAAATCACAATATTACAGAAATGCCATTGTCACTATTGAGCTACCTGTTCTCCGTAAGTGTAGGTTCAGTTGAGTGGCAATAATAAGATTAACGTAGTGAGGGTCACAATAGGTGTTCAAAGAAAGGCAGTTTTTGGGTATTCCTAAACATGCCCAACTTCGTTTCCAAAGTTGTTGGACCATATAAATTTGCTCTTATTGTTACGGTGATTTGTTTAAAAATCATGGCTCACACACGTTTGACTATAGGCAAAATATTTCCAGATACGTGTAAAGGTTACCCTATAAAAATGTAATTTTACCTACTTCCAACAACACAAACAGCAACTCTGGGACTGGCTTGTGGACCGACCGGTGTACTCCGGTGTAACTCTTTGAACAATTATGAACTTTCAATACAAAGAAAATGTAAACTGTCAAACAATTTAAATTCTGGATTTTTGTGACTCCATTGTATTTCTTAACGAAATTTTAAATAAAGGAAGCTGCCTATTGTCTAGTGTCTATAAACATCTCAACTCATTATAAATTTCCAGAAATCTTTGCTGTTATTTGTTGTCGATAGTATGATAAAAAAATATCTTATTTGCATGCCAATAATAATAATAATCCGTTTCTAGTCTCATAATACTGTCTCATGTCAGAATCACTTCTCGATTTCCAATATTTATTTCCTAATCTATTTTACGAACGAACGTTTTTTTAACCAGCAAACACTACTAGTTTTTTACTTCTTAGAATATAAAACTTTTATTTCACCACATTGTTTACTTACTTTCCCGCGTTGCAGTTTTACTTTAAGGACTGTAATAGTCTAGTAAATAGAGACAAAAATAGGGGGGTTAACTTGCAAACGGTCCGGTAGTTCTAAATTTTTTATATGTTGTCTGGTATGTTAAGTAGTTGTTTAAAATGCAAAATACACAATTCTCCCCCCTCCAAATTAAATCATGAAATTAAAGCCCCATTTGTGATTTATGCAGATTTTGAATGTTTTATAAACTCTAACAACCAAACTTCATCAGGATTTGCATTTGTTATAGTGAGAGATTCTAAGATTATTTCTGAAGAGTTATATAGTGGTGCAAATGTTACGGATGTGTTTTTCAAAAGGTTGTTTGATACTTATGACTTCATTAAAAGTCAAATGGCAATATATATTCCCCTTGTAATGGCTCCTGAGCAAGAGGCATCTTTCCAAAACTCAACACATTGTCACATTTGCGAAAATCCTCTATATTTTGATAGGGTGAGATATCACTGTCATTCATCTGGCCGATACCGTGGAGCTGCCCACAATTATTGTAATTTAAACTATAAAGTAACAAAAGAAAATCCCAGTATTTTTCTATAACTTAAAAAATTATGAAGAAATATCCACTAATTGTAATAGATTTTTCTAGACAGAACGAAACGAAGGAAGGAATTGTTGATATTAAATTAGAGATTGAAACTGCAGAAAATGTGCCAGCAAATACATCTGCATATTGTTTGATAATACACGATAAAGTGTTTGAGTACAATCCTTTGACAAATGAGATAAATAAAATGTAAATAAAAGATGAAAAACATTCAACAAGAATTGGTTGACTCTAAGCAGAGATTAAAAGACTAGACGGGCGCTAGATTAGAATAGAGTAGCAGATGCTACAAACACATGGGCTGCTGGTCGATGGCTAGGAGAATCCTCCTAGGTCGGTGGTCGCTGCAGTGCAGGCCCACTGCAACTCTATCTCGCTCTCTGGGAAATGGGGATTGCCGGGATCCCCGTGCTGCACGACGTAGCAACACGGCGAGATTCAAACCCTATTCAACGCTTTAAAAGCGACTCTTTAATCTCTGGTCTGGGTCATCAGTAGTAGCTTTTTTCCTATGTGGGAACATTAGCAAAACCCACGAATGCTTGTAATAGCTTCGTTTACGTATTAATTTCCCTATAACGTAATCAATATATCTCTAAAAAAGAGCTCAACATCATAATTCGCCATATGTAATGGATATAAAAACTCAATAATTGATAAGCTAGTAAACAAATATAAAAATACAAATTACTCAAGGGTGTCAACACTGATCTAGAAATAGGTATGATTTGAATAAAAACTGTACTGAGCAACATCCTGAAATGTGGTATGTCAAAAAACAATATAAACACTTAATTTAAAACTTCCTAAAAGGAAAATTATATAACTCTCCTATTCAAAAATATTCTTCTGTTACGAAACACTTGATTAAACACACTTTTACATTTATTAACCCGATAAAATGATACGGGCTCTGTTTATATTTAATATATTTTTACACGCAAAAATAGTTGAACAAAACTTAATATAAAACCAGCTCCTCACCTCTGCACCTGGTTCTGCACCTATCTCCCATACTAGACATGCCTGAAAAAATATTCGTTTTAGGTCTAGTAAAATTTACTTGTTTAGTAAAAAAAAACTATTTTTCAATTTTGTGTACGTGTACGGCACGCGGCGTTAGGATCTATTACCTTTTTTGTAAAACTTGTAATTCCAAATCTTGGTCTCTTTACATCTAACATCTAACTTTATTCTGATAGCATATATAGTTAAAGCCCAAATCCAAATGGCATTGCGAATTCAGGAAAGTTCCGGATGAGGAGGGGTGTATGCCGGAGAGGGAAAAGAAATATTAAGAAGGTTTTCACATGGCAGACAAAAGCAATGAGAACAATATGTAAAAACAACCACTGGATCTTGAAGGTACAGTTTATCTTGATACGTGATTACTTGGTACTTATTATATTTTACAAAGCATATCATCGATCATATTTTGTAACAAATAATGTAAATCAACTTTTGAGATACATTAGATTTTGTAATAAAATAATTAACGGAAATATAAATCATGGGAGTCTGTTAAGATAAATCGAGCAAACTAACGACAAAGGATGGCTACACTTACCGGCACGGACATCTCAAAAATAAAAAGGAAGATCTTCATGTTGAAAGCAGTGGAGCTGTACTGAATCGTACACGAATTTATACAATTAACATCGACAGCTTTCGATTTAGGCCCTATTACATCCATTAATTACTAGTATAATCGACGAGTTAATGAGCGCGGTAACATGATGGCAAGTGTGCTTGCGAAAAAGTATGGTTTTTGCTCCAATACCCGAATCAGACTTAACATGAGTGGAATGAAACAATTAAAAAAAAAAACTAATAACTTAGTACATTAAAATATTTTTGTACAATTATTGGGTGTGGAGAAAATTTTAAAAAATTAAGTTTAAAATTCCCATCACCATTTTATGGAAAAAACTGTTGTAGTTTGCTTGTTTATGAATACTAGCAGAGTACCCGTCCTGCGTACGGATTTGGCATATAAGGTATAAAATGCTCATTGCAGTTATACTCTGGCTTTGCGTTTGACTTAAAATTGTTAAAAATATCTGCATATAGTAATCCTTTGTTGCTGTTTGGGCAACTAGTATCGGCCATTCTGAACCATTATCAGGCCTCAAGATGTCAGATAACCACTTCATTCGAAGGTTGTTAACAGATTTCAATAAATAAAACACATACGGTACACGAATGGACACACGTTTACAAAAAAAAACGAAACAAAATCTAACGTGACCGGGCTGAAGTAAAGTCTAGACTGGCGGTCAAAGTGGTCTGTGACATCTGTATCTGGCTTCTTATCAGCAGTTTTAACTGCTCTGTATATTTAAACTCTTCATATGTGTTTCTGGTTAAACTGTCCTCTGTGAAATGTAAAACTTCCATATTATGATTGATGTCTGAATAATTGTGGTTATGTAACACCATAATTAAGAAAAATGAATAATTTTCCCCTACATTTCATGTCCAGACCATAGAAATGAGACCTCTCCCAGCTTTCTACGGCCTCCCGTTCGCTCACAAATTAATTGTCAAATTTTGGGCTTACGGAATTACGGAAGATATACGGAAGGTTACTCTTTCAATAGAACCAAGTATATTGTTCGTCTTAAACGATACGGTAAACTTATTTTTATCCATGATATTTTTAAATGTGTTACTGATATGTGAACAAAAAATGGCTGGAATGAAATTTTGTAGTTTTTAACACAGCCGACTGTTAGTTCCAAACGTACGAAGCTACAGTGATGTCAAGCAAGTTAATTGCTAACACTTGCATGTAATTAAATGGTGTAGTGCACAACCCAACATTCCTAGCAGATAACCTTTATAAATAAGAATATTTGGTGTGATAAGACAATAGATGTATTAAAACTCTTCATTAATCTACAATGTCAAACATTAATAACATAGTTACTGTACATAAAACACCCAAAATTGAAGCTAACTTATGATTCCGAACTGCTCAATATAGTACCCGCAATGTATGGTAAAAGGTTACACCGTTTTGACCGTCAACTTTAAAATCAGTTAGTTTTTTGTTTTAGTTAAGTATATCGGAAGCCAGGTGGTTTAGCACTATATACGTTATTTACAAAAGTGATCTACGATAACAATTTTTAAACATGAATGGTCCTCTTTAAAATATTGTTTAAGTGCGTGGTTATAGAGTTAAAAAGTCCCGGAGCAGCTAAATATTACAAGAAATGATAAAGATATAGCTACAAAACATGAAAAGAGTCACTGGACATAACAATTATATTAACACATTATTCAGTGATACGCCACCCCCTCGGGGGGACAGCCCACTAGGAGACAGAAGAAAAGCTTTAAGGTAAGCATAGGTTGATGGTAATAAAGTTAAAGGTCTTTGATAGTATAACACAATGCCGCAAACCTCAACTCAAATGGACAACAGAATAAAAAATATAAGCAGTTGAAATATTTGTTGAATTTTTAATTTTTGGGGTGCCAAAATTGAATATAAGTAAACTCAGTTAAACACTCTGTAACGAGTTCTGTTCACAAAGTAGATTAAAAGGGAAAATAATTATTTAAAATAGGCTAATTTAATAGCCTATACATTAAAATAAATAAATAGCCGAAATAAATAACATACATTGACAAACACAGAAGTAACAAATATCACGGATTATTAAACAAATCGCCTCGCATTTACACCAAGCGGCTTATCACAAACCGGCCAAAAAATAAATACAGTAATATACCCTCATTCAAGGGGTGATACGCAGAAGTTAAGAATGGATGGAAAGAAATTGAATTAACACACTCACTCCCGTGTGTCTGGAGACTCTACGTACAGAGAAGTGTGACGGCCGGTACTGAACCTGGTAACACACTCACACACACACACGCGCGCACACACACATACATACATCACTTCGAAAACAACTTTTTTGGGTCCAGGGGGGCCCAAAACGAATATATCCACTCAAAACTTAAACTCGAAAATTTTGACGAAAACAATACTTTCTCCATATACTATGGTATAAGAGGAGGAAGTAAAGAGTAGTCTAAACATGAAAACAAGTATTTTTTGTAAGTTTCTTTAAGAAATTCAAATGTGTGGGAACCAACCAACACCAACACACACAAAAGTTTGCTAACACGATTTTAAATCATATCGAAGTTAATTTAAAACAAATTTTACAGCGAAATTGTATTGAATTAAAATTAGTAGGTATAATTTTTAATACTAAACTTATACTAACGCTATTTTTCTTATTTTTCATTGTTGAGTCTTGGGAATAATGAGTAAAGTTTAAAGCCAATTAAAGTTAAAGCTCAATTAAAGCTTAATTAAGTCAATATAAAGTTCTTTCGTCTCAGCAGTTTTCCTTGGATATAACCAATAAAGGTCGTCTCTTATAATTCAATAATACATCAGGTTTATGCTTATAATTGTAATTTGTTTAATATATATCTCAATATTGTAATATGCTTGATTAGGTTAAGAAGCATTACACTATTAGGTTGGATTAGATTATTTGAATGGCGACCTATACAAAATACTACCACTATTAATGCTATACTATTTTTGTTACGGTACTGTACGGTACTGCGTAAGAACTTTGGAAATAAATACACAATGATTTTTGTTTGTTATACCGTAAAAAAACCCCTTGATTATTTTATCGTGGGGTTGGCTTGAACAAAGGTTTGCACGTTTTTTTTTACACAGGTTCAACTTTCAAACATTCATCGTTGATATTATATTTGATTTTAGAATAAAATATTAAAAAATGCCACTTCCTTTAATAGTTACACGAAGAACTTATTGCAATTGCATCTGAATAATCAGGAATCAGAACTCTCAATATTTTTTGGGTCTTGTGGTTGACACAGAACATAAAAACCCTTGAAAGGATGGACTGTAAATTGGTTATGACTGATAATAGTCGTAATAGTCTATTGTTTTTTTCTTAATAAATAGTTTTTGAGATACTTTTTGGGTCTTGCTATTTTGGTTTGGTTCAAATGGAACGTAAATTAATATTACAATATCATATTATTGAGGAACAATCCATTTATGATGTAGTATTTGTATTTCAGCATTCTTCTGATAAACAATCAACTATATTGACTTAATGTCAAAATTCGTATAGTTTCTCTATGACGTGTTACAACATGATGAGTCGATATAATGATCATTGTATAATATTGGAACTAAACCTGTCATCAAAGGATAAGATTGCTCAAAGCTTGGATTAGTACTTTTTGACGAATTAGCTCGACAATGGTACAGATTCTAATTACAAATCAGCGTGCTCATGTTTCAATAACGACCAAGGGACTCTTAGTCGTATCTTCGAGACTCTCTCTTCAACTGAAATTTGTAGCTTACTTTATTATTTTTGTTTGTTTTGATGTATTGTTTTCTTTAGGGTGCTAACACAATTTACTAGGGTAATTAAGTAAATCATTGGTAGTAATTATACATTTTATTTTGTCGAGTCACTTTTAGGTATAATCAAAACTACAAAATGCTTAGGTAACCGCAGTTAATTTTTGCATTATCGCAAGCAAGATATTTTACTTATTACATAAATCCATAATTAGAAATTTGTTGTAAATATATATATTTATAGTATGTTTAGGGATATTACAGTTTTCAAGAATTATCATAAACAGATTTAAATTTTACAGTTATGAATACAAACTGTACTGTTATTATTTGACTTAATACAACAACAACAAAAATTATTTGATAAAATTAATCTCTGATAGTTATGAAATTAGAGCAATAGACTGATATATTTCTTGTACTTTATAGACCTATATCGGTTAGGTCACAATGTATGAGAGTGAAAATCAAATCAAATCAAATCGATTTTATTTCCACAATATATAAAAATTTACAATTTTTCAAAAAAATAAAATACAAATATATATAGTCTTGAAGCATTATAGAGTAAATTGATTACGTAAATTAATTCTAGTAAAATTAAATTTATAAAGTTATAATAGTAAAAACTTAAATACTAGTTGAATGTTTGCTCCGGCTTGAATAATAACTAATGTAATAGATAAGGAAATGAGTCTACATGGACCTCAGTGGTCTGTGCGTAGACTCGAGTTGTTAAAAATTATATATATTTTTGAGCTAATTTGAAATAGAAGAAAAAGTTTAAGATTAAATAAAAATTTACTATGTGCTATGGGAACGTGTAAAGATAAAGATAAGTTTAAAGATTATATAAAAAATTGGAGTAAATATTAGTTTAAATTTTTATGAACAGAATTGTTTAAGGAGAAGCCAATAAATAAAAATGGAAAAGAATTTTGTTGGTTGCAAGAGTTTGCAGAGGCTGCCATAAAGTGTTATGGTAAAGTTTACCATAAAGTGAGATATCAAGTTGTCACCAAAGAGATAATGAAGTGCCTCAAAAGGGAGCCAACTTGGTCTTGTAGTTTTTAATCATAAGTGTGTATGAATCTTATCTTGTTATGATATGTACGTACGAAACTATACCTTACACCTACATATGGATGATAGCTAATAATTACACTTGCAGTATGACCATACTTATGCATAGGTATCGTAATAATCTCATTTGATGGCCAATGCTTATTGGAGTATGAAAATATTAAAATTCTAGTCGTCTTCTTGGATA